TTTCTAGATCTCTTGAAGTCTTATAACCTCCCTGTCTCAAACCCTTGCCAAAGTATTTCAATCTCTTGGCAATTTCTGATCAGAAATTGTCCATGACTACCTCAAACAGCACTTTCAAAGTGGCACTCCCCTGCTCACTGCTTTATGGAGCACCTCAGCTTGCAACATGTTGCACCCTAGGCAAGAAGGACAAATACAAGTAGCCCTTCAAGGACAGAACTGACACAAGAGACTAACAAGACCTACACACCTGATAACCAAATCAAAAAAGAATTGAGAACATTAAGTAACACAACTCAAGATGTTCTCCTCCTTTCCTACCTACTATTGTGAACTTGGTGGTTAGATGTAGGCTGGAGAGTTTCCACTTCTTGCTTCACCTGCACACAGCCCAAGGTGAACGCTTTTCCCACTTCCCCCACCAGAACACAGCGTGACCTCCACCTTCATTACCAGACTGCAGGCAAAGGCAGACACCAGCGATTAAACTCCAAGCAGAGTCAGGGAACCACACCCTTGGCCTTGCCACTGGCTGGAACACAAATGCTTCTCATTCCAAATCCTATCCCAAAATCCTGGCTAGAGCTCACTCTCCAGCTTAAAAACAAAGCAAACAAAAATCACTTTCACATCTGTCTACCTTGTACATGGAAAACTTGCTGGTAGGTAACTATTTCACCTGTGCCCTTCCACAAGGCATGAGAGATCAAGATGCCAAGTCAGTCTAGCTGCTCCCCAGCAGGGCCAGCAGCCAGACTGTGAATGCAACCAAAACCCCAGTGCACCACCTCTCTCCCACTCACCATACACATTATATACCCATAATGTTTTCAAAGTGGGAGAACACAGCTTCAGACTACGGTCACTGACAACAACCACTGAGTTAAGAGATCTGGGTTGCTGAGAGGTTCAGGGGTTCATTTTTAACATATCATTTAAATAACCAGCTTCTTTGGCCTTTGGATATTCTCTCCCTCCCCCCCCCCACCCTGTTCCTTAAGGTTTCCTGCTCTTGCAGTTCTGAGACATCCTAAACTTCAGGAAACAAACATTCAACAGTGAGTGTTTAATAAAATATTCTAACATAGAGAATCAGCATGTCTATCAGACTGCATACTACATATGAACTATGATACTTTTTAATAGCATATCCATTTTTGCAAAATTTGCCAAAAAATTCACTTAATTTGATCTAAGAATTATATCTTTGTAAATTGACTTGTCATGTTAGCCTGATCCTGGCCTTAGTACTCTTAAAACTTAGTGTTAGAGAAAATCACATATGCAGATGATTCAGCATTAACTAAGCCTACCATGAAAGCTTCCACTGGTTTTAATGGTGGTTGAATAGGGCATCTGATTTATTAAGTCAAGTTATGAAATGTTTTTCCATAAAAACCTTGCCATATGCTATTCCATGATCAGCCTCACTCACTTTCTGTCACACACAGTCTAACACTGACGTCAGCCCTGCTTTGTGCAGGAGGCTGGAGCAGACAACCACCAAAGGCTCTTCCAACTAAATCATCCTCAGATTCTAACACACATGGCTCCAAAAATCACTTTATAAATCCATTATTTGCCAGCCAAACCAACTCCTTCCACATGACATTCTGACTCTAAGACTGAATGCACATAAATTCAGCTATTCAGCTATCTATCATCACAAATTTCATCACAAAGCCAAAGTCATCTCTGCAGTGTCCAGAGTGTATCTCCTCCTTGTTTCTTCCAGTCTGAATGGACACCCCACCACACATGGATCCCATCTGCTTTCACCCAAACTGACCAACCCACGGACATCTACACCCTCTGAGTCTCCCAGTCACACAGGCCAGTATCTTTACCATAAAATGCTACTAAGAGAATGCAACATGCATGTATTGTCAGGAAGAGAAGGAACATAAAAAACTGTTTCATTGTAACCAGAACCTGAAACAGGTATTTGTCTACTGAATAAAAAGGACAAAATTTCAAGTAACAAAACACAAACTGTAGTGCATCATGCTTAGTTTCACTGGAATAGTAACTATTTAATGATACAAACATATCTCCCTAAACAGTTTTTGTAACTGTATATGGAAGCTTTATCTGTTCATAATGACAAACTACATATACAAGCAGACCTACTAAAGCCATCAAGTTATGCTCTTTATTTCCCTAAATTTTTTAAACATATGGCGAAAAAGAGAATTATGATAACGATCTATTTTAATAACTGAGATGATCAAAAATTAGAAAGTGATCCAGAAAGCAGTCAACAACACAGTATTTTAAAACAATTCTCTAAATAGCCATCAAAAACTTTCACTGACCTACACACTCTACAATCTCTACACAGCTCATGGGATTCCTTCTGCTTTTCTCATAATCCTGAGGTCTACATATCCAGCTTCTATATATTACAAGCTTTAAGGATTACAGGAGAGGCTCACTCCTGAAAAAACACACTTTGATTTCATGCTTGGGAAAAACCTCAGATGCATCAAAACAATTCCATGCATCCTTCCCATTTAAAAAAGAAGAGAGGCAAAGAAAAATTTCAATGGCAGCCTAGCTTCCCATGCAGGCACCAAGCCATGTCTAGCGTGTCCAAATTCAAGGAATGCTTAATCACCTTTAGAGGAAATGGAATGAAAGCCCTCCCTCTGCTAAAAAAGAGAAGTGGACACATTTTGTAATCAACACACAGTGGCAATCTCAGCTCCTAACAAAGCACTGCAAAGACCTCAGCCTGCTACAATCTCCAGCTGCCATCTGAGCTAAACATAAAAAAAATAATGGTATTAAACATGCCCATGATGAACTGGTTATATATATCCACACACATATTGCCACCAACCACAAGAGGGCCAATACTGTACAGACCTTGTCACTTAAAGCACTTAATTCTTAGTTCCATCCATAACTTAGGCACACCTTGAGCAAACTTGCTACATTTTCTCACTTCTGGTGATTTTCAAGCCAGATCCCTTATGCAAACAAAAAAAAATGTTCTGGTGTTGAGAGCAAGGGATACAAGGAGAGGCTAATCTGGGCAGGAAACCGACTTAGCTCTCAAAAGATCAAACCCCATCCCCCCTGCAGCATTTCACACACCTTGCCTTTCAAATGTCACTCTATTAATTAAAATAAATTGATGAGAAAACCACACAAAGCAAGAGTCCCTTTCAAGGCAAATGCTTCCTCAGTAAACAAAGAAAAATGTTTCTCCTCACCAAAGCATCCAATAGCTCTCTAGGAAGCTCTGTAGGGAAAAGGCTCCCTTGCTCTGCCCCATGGCTCTATCTAGAATCATGAATTATATATAGTTTATCTCCACTAATCTTTGAGCAGAAGCACTGAAGGGGCAAAAAATAAGAGAAAAAGAAGAATTAAGAAAAAATTGCTAGAAAATTGATTTTTTTTTTTCTAAATCAGACTGAGAGAACTCAATACCATACTTTGAAGAGTCCTAGGGAAGAATTTTAAAGACCTCAATGAAAGAATAAGAACCATATATATGACAGTTATTCGAACTTGCAAGACCAGACAAAAGTAGGCAAAATGAGATTTCACATTCTTAGTAATTAAAAAAAATAAATGAGCAGAGAGGCCAAAGGGGAAAGCACAGATCATAGTACCCAGCTCATCTCCATCAGTTACTGTGAACCAGTGTTTTCCCTCTCAGGTTTACATAGAAAGATCTTTCAGCACAGAGATATACCAGCAAAGCCTTCAGCCACTCAGCTGTCCCAACAATTTGTTCCATGGGACTCTGACATCTAGGGTTGGTTTTATTTTAATGAAGTATCTATAGATCTTAAAAAAACTACTGATTTTTTTCTTACATTCAGGTATGAGGAACTCCAGTGACAGAACTTCATCCAGACATGAGAGATACAATGGTGCTTAGTCTGAATTCCTTAAAAAATCCCAAAACCTACTTTGCACTCCCTTTTTACAGTTTTTTTCCTCAACTGAGGAGTAAAACAGGAAGGAAAAAACTAATGACAAAGCCCTCAACTGTCTATTTACAAGCATTTTTTTCACTTACATAATCACAGGGATCATAGTTTTAGTTTACTATATGTTTTAGAAACACAAGCAAAAATGCAAACAGGAGCACCTGAGGATATTTTACAATCCTCAAGGTCAACACCTGTAACAAAAGTAAGAGTCCAAGTTTTCACTGTGGTACCAAATTTTTTTAAGCACCCTGTGAAACAAATCATTGCTGCTCCAAAAACCACATTGCATTTTAGTTCTATGCTGATGGTTTAAAACACAGGCTCAAGAAACCATTCATAAAAAGGCCCCAAAATAAATACAGTGAGCAGGTGTCCCCAGGCACATTCCTGTATCCAGGGGCTGGGAGAGCCTGAGAAGCTCTTAAAACCATTCAACCTCAGTATTTACACACAATATTGCCAGATACTGAAGCAGTTTATCAAAGTCTCAAAATAAAAGGTGACATCCAAGTTCCAGGGCTAAAATTCTGCCTTCACTTTAATCCAGCAGACTATTAGACAGAAACTTTATTTTTTTTTTAATCACACATTCATTCAGAAATTAACACCAGGCACACAACCACTGATATCAACTGACTTGTACAACTACATGAACCTGGGGAGCAAAGCAGGTGCAGATGGGGCCATGGACACTCAACATTTCTGCTAGCACCTCCAGGATTAATTAGGTCACACATTTTTACACCGGCATCAACTAACTGCTCAAAGGATACCTATTCAAATGCATGGCAAGAGAATCAACACCTCATAGCAATAATGCTCTTATTATCCACTGCAGTCACCACCCAATAACAAAACTTAAAAATAGCAAAACGAAGCTTTTGTTGGTGACAACTGCAACCAATTTTGTTTACAAAGGTTTCCAATTATCACACTGTGTATCAACCAAATGCTCCATTCACAGAACAGCAAATTAATTTTTGTTTATTAAAGAGTTTCTTAAGAACAAAAGCAACCAGCAGAATCATAAGAAAAAAAATTCACACGTACTTTCCAGGAACTTGCCCAAGTCAGCTCCTGAAGCAAGAAAATAAAATGTGCAGCAAGAAGTTAGAGGAATATAATCAGAATTCAAAAGTTCTTTTCCCATCCACCCAAGCAAACAGATATTCAAGAATTACAGTAAAAGCAGCACACCACGAACGTTGAACTGAATGTTACTGGGGGAAACGTGGATTTTTATTCCAGGAGCACTACTTGGCAATACCTCCTTTTGGCCTACACCTTGTCCCAATTCAAAGTGCAATCAGAGAGAACTGAAAAAGCCGTAAGTACTCTGTTGACACTGAAACTACTTGTCTTGGATCAATACCAAACGTACACAATTGTGATCGATGTTTCTTCAGCCTGCCAAGGCTTCTCCAGTCAAACACTGCCGGTCACCGCTGCTCCCAGCACCCTGCTGCCTGCGCGGGGGAAGGCTCGGAGCTCCCTCCTTCCTCGGCCAGTGTAACCCGACAGGGCCGGGCGTGCTCGAAGCGGGGCTCACCGCGGCGCTGCCGCTGGGCTGGGAGGGGACGAGCGAGTTCACAAGGGTCAGTGCGAGGGGAGACGGCCCCGGAGGGCGCTGAGGAGCGGCGGGCGCCCCGCCGCCGCCTGACAAGTACCAAGGACCCGCACGGAGAGCTCAAGGCCCGCTCGCCCCAGCTCCAACGACCCCTGCAGAGGCCCATGGGGAGCGCAGGGGGGCCCTCCAGGCGCACCCCCCCACCCCCCTTGGGCGGCCTCGCCTCCCGGTTAGGCCGCGGGGCGCCTCGGTGCTGCGGCAGCCGAGGCGGACGGGAGCCGCCGGCAGGGCCGGTGGTCGGGCGGGGCGCGCGGCGGCGGGGGCGTGGTAGGGACGGCCGGGGCAGCGGCGGGGCCGGGCGGCGGCGGGACGGCGTTACCTGCGCTCCCGGGCGGAGAGTCCCTCACAGCCGCGGCGGCTCCTCAACCCAACAACACAAGATGGCGGGTGCGCCGCCACGCAGCGTCACGTGAGGGTGAGGCCACGCCCCCAGGCCCCGCCGCGGGACCCGGATGAAGCAGCGGCGCTTCCCGCCCACCCTCCGTGTGACGTCACGCCGGAGAGGGGCGAGCCTCCAGCGCCCCCTGCCGGACGCGCGAGGCCCCCGCAGCGCCCCCCTCCACCCCTTCCCCTCACAGCCCTGAGGGGAGATTGGAAGGACATGACAGGGACGGAAGTCTCCGCGCCTCCTGCGCTGCCCGAACCCCTGGTAATCGAATCAGTGACTCAGTTCCCCTTGCACTCGGCACTGGTAAGGCCACACCTTGAGTCCTGTGTCCAGTTTTGGGCCTCTCAGTTCGGGAAGGATGTTAAGCGGCTGGAGCATGTCCAGAGAAGGGAACAGAGCTGGGGAAGGGTCACCAGTCAGACGAGGAGCAGCTGAAGGAGCTGGGAGCGGAGCTCAGCCTGAGGCTCAGGGGGTCCTTTCTACTCCCCACAACTCCCTGTGACAGGAGGATGCAGCCAGGGGCTTGGGATCTGCTCTCAGGGAACAAGGGATAAGAAAACATGGCCTTAAGCTGCAGCAGGTGAAGTTTAGGTTGGACACTAGGAAGAAATTCTTCACAAGAGGGGTGATTAGGCATTGGAAGGGGCTGTCAAGGGAGGTCATGGAGTCACTGTTTCAAGAGGTGTTCAAGGAACGCCTGGCCGTGCCCTGGTCTGGTTGACAAGTGGGGATCAGTCACAGGTTGGACTGGATGATCTCAGAGGTCTTTTTCAACCGGAATGATTCCGTGATTCTGCCACCCTCCCGCCACTGTCTCAGACACACAGGCGGCCTCAGCAGCGCAGTGTGGCTCCCAGCCTTATCTGTTTCTTCTGTGTGGTTCCATGAGGCAATTCAGCTTTATCAGTGGCCACGAGAATCTCTGTGAGAAGCCACCGTGTGTGAGCACTCTCAGTGCCCAGGCACTGAACCTGCTCTCACCCGGACGTTTTGCCGTGGGAGTCACCCTGGGAGGCAGCAGCAGCTGCTGTTGCTGCTGACAGAAAAAGGGCATTAGATGATACATATTTTGACTCTTCTGATGGAAAAATCAGGAGCTCAAGGCAAACTTTCTTCAGCTAAAAATACCAGTTTATTTTTAGTCCCCAAACCCATATTAGTACATGAGGCAGAATAGCCCCATGTGGCTCCTTCAGCGTAAAAAACTATTCTTGGCTGTTACGCATTGCTGAAGGTATAACCGTTTTCAGCTGAAACAGTTTCACTCTAATCATGATGTCAGCCACAACCCATGTAGCTTTCTCCATCCTCTTCTAGGTGAATAAATACTTGTCATTGTGTACTGAATGACAGCCAAAAATGATGCAACAGTGAATACTAGTGATTCTTGTGAGCTAATGGGTTGAAAGCCTGTAATTCTTGGGGCTTATTTTTAGCTGAGAGCTACATAGGACTACCTCACCCAAAAAAACTAGAATGGAATTTCTCCATTAGGAGGCTGGTATGGAAAAGCAAAGCTCCCTAGAAAAGGGCAGGCCTCTGATAAGCTGTATTCAATCCCCCTGGTTGTTGTCACACAGCTTGAGCCAATACTAATAATGATAAAGAGAGGGAGGGAGGAAAACCGTGCTGCATTTCAAGCTGTCAGTGAGAACTTCCAATTTAATTGCAGAAGCAGCTGTGTCTTGTTATTCTACTTATCAAATGTGAGTTTGAGCACTCAAAAATATTTTCACATGCTCTAAGACAACCTTTATCTGAGATGGAAGATGTTTAGCACTTGTGGAAATTTTTTAATCCCAGTTAGCACAAACATTATATTACTGAGACCAAAAAAAAAAAAAAAGAACCCAATTTCAAATTCAAGAAGCATCTGAAACATTCCTCATCTGCAGAACTTGGCATTTCCATAAAATACCTCAAGGAAACTCAGATGACAATCTTTTGGTAATAGCAGATGCATCTTAAATAGTCCACAATTCATTCAAGCAGAACAGAGAGAATCTCATGAAAATTCAAGACTGTACCCGTGCGGTAAAATTCCTGCATGGCTCAATGACAGAATGTCAGCTGATATTGTGTAGGTGTGAAATCACCCCAGCAGCCAGTCTGGGTACCAAGGGCATGATGTACTTCAGAGCCCTGGATTACTGTGCCAATTCATTCATTAAAACCCAAGTGCAGGGAAGTGGCATTCCCAACATACTATAAACTTTCCTTACTAACCCCTTGTTTTCACCCATTCTGGCTTGGGTGCAGGAGCCTGCCTCTCTCAGTACACTGGTAGGGCTATGAACACAGTGCACAGATTTGAAATGATCAATAATGATCACAAAGCAGCCCAGAAGGATGTGTCACAGTCATGTTTCCCCTTGCCACTCCTGCATTTTGTTACTTGGAAAAGTGGTTCCCCTGTTTGTTGAAATAACCAGGGATTTTGTCTGGGAAGAATCAATATGTTCTCAGCAGCCTCTGTTTTCCATGTCCTCATTTGTCACATCCCTAAAAATAATGAAAACAGCAGCAAAGCAGGCAAACATCCAACTGCAGTTTTTAAAGTCAGTCACTTCAATGCATCTGTCACCTCAGGTGGCTTGTGCTGAAAGACACAATACCATAAACAAGCTGCTACTTCTGCAACACTCAATTACTTTTAGATGTCTTGGGTTTATTTGGACACTCCCCTAAGGTTAAAATGTTATTTTGTCACCTTAATCCTCGCAGATAAACCCCGAACCTCAAGCCAGGAAGAGCTTGATCACACCATTTCTCTTACTCCGCTGTGACCACACTGAGCTCTTTAGGTGAGACTTCCTGCTGCCATAGGCTGTCCCCTGCAGCCAACAACAATGACTGTGACAGGAGCATCCTTGAGAAATCCACTGCAATCTGAGCATCCAGACAGGCTGAACCCACCCTCGGTGCTGGCTGAAGTTTTAGTGACTCCTCTATTGTACTTTGCCTACTCTGGGGATGGTAACATTTTATTAAACAAAATCCCTTCAGGGATCAAGGACTACCTGAAATTTCCATTCTAGATGAGTGAAACACATGAAATACTTGAGGCAAGTGTTTGTCCCTTCTGAGAAAGACCACTAAGCACAACAGGTTTTTCATCAAGCTCCTCTACTTGCCATCACCGACTTAAGAGTCACTTGTGGCATGTCAGAGATACCAGAGAGGCATTAATGTACCAGCAGGCATCACTAAGGAGAGCTGGGATTGCCAGGACCTTTGAGAGCCACCTGTGGTGACATCAGGCTTAAAAGGACAGAGCATCAAGGATTGTAATAGATAAATTACAGATAAATACCACTAAGTGTTTTCACATGGTTTTAGTTGTGAGATACAGCTAAGCAACTTCTCTTTAGTACTTCTGCATAACCTAATGACATGGTTATCTAATCCAAGAATTACTAGTAAAATAGAACAATTTGGAAAGCAATTAATTTCCCAATGTCCATTTTTGCAAAGCTAGTGTCAAAACACACATTGCTGCAACTTCCAAATAAAGCACATCCAAAAGCACTTATTGTTCACTGCACTGAATGCAGGTCCCAACTAACAGCACCCATTCGAATTGAACAAAACCATAGACAATACTCATTTCCTTACTGAAACTTGTCAGCTGTAGTTGACTCAATTCAATTAAAATAAAACCACTAGAAAGCCTTTTTCCACCCTCTCCTTACCCAGCTGCATGTGCAAAGCAGCAGAACTCAGCAGTGCTTGCTATGCTGTAAAAAACAAAAACAAAACCAACAACAACAACAAAAAAATCAAGAGCTGCAGTGTCACAATTTTCCTGGGGAAATAGAGAATAAGGAACCTTCACCCTGATTTTACCTGACCTCTGAGACCCAAGGACTCATAGACACAGTGAATGTATTGGCACAGAGCAGAGCTGCATGGAATAAAATATTTATGGCTTCTATTTCATCACTGGACCTGAAACAAGGCATGGTTAAACCTCTTCCTGAACCCCCTCCTCAGTGTGGCCATGCCAGCAAAGCTTAGCAGATCAGCAATAGCAGAAACAAAATGCTGGGAGACATATTTTCACATAGCCACGTATTTTTCTTTTTTCTCCCTTAATAAAGGCAGAAGCAGGAAATGCAAAAGGAATTCCAGCTGAAGCAACCTGCCCAGCTCCCAGCTGGGGCACTATGGGGGCTGAGACAGAGGCTATTTTAAGATAAGGAAAGGCTGACAACCTTCAGATGTCAACATTTAGCAGTAGGCAGTATTTCAAGTATTTACACAGCCATGTCCCTTTCTGAGGGAATGCAAACATTAGGGCTTTTTACACCAGAACTGCTGTGCAGAACAGGAAGTTCTCAAGAAGGGGCTGAACACTTCCCCCACTCACCAAGCTTGGGGGATTACTATTACAATTTGTGAAAAATGCTATATTCAAAGACCTGAAATAAGCCACAGACAAGATTGGAGATAACAATGCTTTATTTTTACATTTCAGCAACAGGAGAAATAATTGAAGATGAAATTATCTGCTTTGTTGTAAAGTATAAAAACATTTAATTATAAATATTTAGCTACAAAAGCGTGATTTATAAAATATAATCTGTGAAGATATATACACAGTTTAATCGTTTAGCAATTCTTTCACCTGACATTAAAGAGTAGAGGTTTTTCTATTTATTATTCCATGCTCACAGTTTAGTGCTCACAGTTTAAGAAGCAAAAGAGACAAGTGAAAAGATGACTGGTGAGTTTTGTTCTGGGAAAAAAAATTAACATTTTGCCATGAATTTGGGCAAGAGCAGAAGCAAAATCTGAATTTCAGCAAATCCATGTCTTGAGAGAGGTCTCTGAGGGAAGTTCCCCTGCCATGACTGACAGTGTTTATATCCAGACAAGCAGTGGGTATCTCAACATTTGTGGGCAAGGTCCCCGTGTTTCCAAGAAAAAATGGCTAATAGTATAATGCAAGCCCTCAACATTCAGTTCAGTTCAATGTGCTCACCTCCCTGCTCTCTG